CAAACAACAGACGTATAATTTTTACAAAAAAATTCCGGTTTCATACTTCCACACCCGGTATATTGGTAATTTTATATAGTTTGTAATTTTATAAGAAAATTAATGTGTCAAAATAGTCAATAATAAAAAAATAAATAAAATACATGCGAAATATTAGTTTTTCTATGATATATTATAACAGAAAATAATTTTCCTAATTTTCTTCTAAAGAAATTTTTTATATTCTATGTTATCAATATTAAGACGTTTGACGTTTTAAAACTAATACTAGACATTGCGACAGTTGTTTTTCTCAAAACCTCCTTAAATAAGCATGTATATATTGATCTATCAATGTCCACAAACAATCATAAGTGTCGAAGAGTGTCAATGTCGTATTCGCAAGACACGTACCATGCCGAAAGTAACTACAACGCATCGTATTAATGAAAATTGTTATAATCTTGAAACGGCCAACTATCAATTGCCCATATTAGCAGTTTGGAAGAGGTCATTGCGTATGCAATGTGGTCGTTCCATTGTTCACCTGCCCTTGGGTTGAAATAATGACTATAACTGTCTTCAATGATCGACAATATACCTTTTATGTTTTCCCTGCGTCATGTATTCAGGTTTTTTTATTCACTCACAGGTAATTTGTTATTCACTCCGAACTGTGTACCCGTGTATCGTACTATTTCTATGCCTCTAACGCGCGTATCGCCATGAAATGTAGCGAATTATTCTTTTACACCAAATTGTTGTTTGCTGTACGAAACTACTTTAAAATATCGTAATGTTATGATTACGATTTGTTATTTATTTAGCATGTGTGAGGTATAGTCACTTATCATCAAGCCCCTGCATTTTGAACATATGTTGTGTAGTATAGATAAGTATTTTATATAGAAATGATTCACGAACTTGTCCGTTTGTATCAAAATTGCGTTAGTGAAAAGACGACAGAGTGAAGAGACAGGGTCCGAGAAATTTTCGATAGCCTCTATAGTTGTCACATTTCAACGTTTAATGTTTTGACAATGAATCCTCTGTTTCAATTTTGTAGAACATGTCTCAAAAGGTGAAACGAGTGAAAACAAGTTGTTACTGAGGCGCAAAAGAGTGGATATTGAAAGAGACAAAGAGGAAATCGTATTTCTCACAAAAATGTGTACAGGGTTTTCCATTAAGAGGTTTCATTTTAAATTATTAGAAAAAAAGGGTTTTGAAGAAGTGGTGATATTTTTGTTCCAATACAAAGTACAGACTGTGTGGAACACGATATTTGATAAATGACCGTCTCGATTTTTTTACAAATGGTCATTTTTGAGGAGATCTCGCATCACGTTTTAGCACAATTATGGCTCGATTTCGTGAATAACACTTTTGATATTGTCTTTGAGCTCTTGAATCGTTTGCGGAACATTGACGTAGGCTTTATCTTTCACATAGTCCTAAAGAAAATAATCTAGCAGTGTTAAATCGCACGATTTAGGCGGCCAATTAAAGTCTCTTTGTTGAGAAATTATGCGTCCAGAGAACAACGAACATACGGCGTTATGCATGGCCTGTCGGCTTCAATTCTTGTGTCATCTGGACATTGTAAGCATGCAAGCCAAGATCTTTATGCAAAATATGATGCCGACCGGTTTGCGATATGCCCAATTGTTGCGAACGTCTTGGAATGGATAAACTTGGGTTTTTTGTGACACTTTCAGTCACAGCAGTAATGTTTTCGGTTAATCTGGCTAACCGAGCACGAGTTGCGGTCTTTACATCACTAACTTGACCCAAATGCTTAAATTTGTTGATTAGATTAACAATTGCTGGATGAGAAAGTATTTTATTACAACCAAAAGCAGTACATGTTTTACGAACTGTCTCCGTGAAATTTTCACAATTTTTGTAGTGAATTTTTGCAATTTTTATACGTTATTGAAGAGTATATCGTTAACTGTATACTTTTTATTTGTCAGCTGTTAAAGAATAACAGTTCTATCTTTAATACATTAAAAAGGGCGCGAAATTAAAAATGAAACCTGTTAATGGAAAACCTTGTATGAATTAAAATCAGAATGTTTTACTATTGCGTTTTGGGAACAAAAATGCCAATGTATTTTCTTCTTTCTTTTCTCAAATATACATTTTTTCAACGTATATTTTTTTGCATTTTTACGCAAAAAAATATTTTTTGCATTGTTACGCAAAGAAAAACTGCTGATTTGGTACAAATAAACGACTGTGTTGTGGATATAATTAGCAGTTTTATTAAAGTAGCATTGTACTAAATTTTTCTTTCCACAGATTTCTAGCTTGCTAAAATTAACTAAAAATTCCATAAACTTATAAGTATGTTTTGTAGAATTCGCTTTATCATTATAAGCGAGATGCTTCATGTTTCTATCATCACTCGGAGTACTGATAGGTACGACATAGAGGTTTTTAGGATGCTCATATAAGTTTGGAGGTTTACAACGATGAAATTTCCAGCTTGCAATTGAACAGGAGATTGAGATCGCATAATGATAAAAATAAAGTTTTGCTTCAGCTTTGCGGGAAGATCGTACCAAGCATTCTGGTAAATAAAAATTCCTACTTCTTCCATTTGGGATTTCAAATAATCCCCGACTACGCAGTACGTCGTAATTTGTGTCAGAAAGGCGTTAAGCACCATAAAGCTTCTTACCATAATAATAACGTCATTCCGTTTTAACGCCAAAATAAATTGAAAACCTGCAAAAATATTTCTAATATATCTGTTCTAAACTTTTAAAACATGATTATTACATATTTATTTTATGAATTGTTATAAGTAATAAAAAATTTACCTAATATACACAGTAGTAAGCTACTAAAAAATAACTGCATTAGCAGAATAAAACTAGTTGCATTTGCAAGTATCTTGGTCATTTCCATCAAATGACAATGTTTCTGAATTAATGCGTTAAAACGATCGCGGATTTGTGGTCCCGTCAGGTCAAAATCGATTAACTTAGACTTCAAAATTTTCACTTGACCACAAATATGCAATGCGATATGGAGAAACAAAGAGTCGTTACCTTTATATAATAAAGTCACATTGATGCATAATTTTGAAGAGAACATTTGTACAACACTTATACAAATTACGTGTACGAGTTGGCATTTTTTGCATAACATTATAAAAAATGAAATAAGCTTTACGTGCAAAACATAAATACTACCGTAGTTGCTGGTACAGACGAGTAACACCGTGAATAGCTCGATGATACAAAATGTAATATACATGTTTCGTGGCGCATTTAGATATTCTAATGCACACCTTGACGGTATTGTATATTCCAGCGTGATATCCTGCTGGGTTACATTGATCTGTTCCTTGCTTAGAGTATGCAGAACGGGCATCAACGAATATATAAAAGAATCGAAATATGCGATGGATACCATAGTACACATGAGAGTTCTTGCTATAAAAGCGTGTCTTAGCATAATGGCACGCTGTTTCTCGTTTTGGATCATTAAGTAATCGTTTTCAGCGAATTTATAAGTCTTGGTTAAGTTGCTCGCGTAAATACGGAACCATATCATCTTCATCACAGCTAGCGATCCACAAAAGATCAACATAAGAGCATCAACGTTTTCTCCCGCGTTGGTGCAATCCAAATAAATCTCCATAGAAGACAAGATCACTACAATGCTCTGTTAATATGTGCAAAAATATATATTTTATCAGGTACAAGTTGTCTTATTTATATACAGAGGCATATAGTGCAAGGACACGCGTGAGAGAATGAAAGCGCTCTACCAGCCCAAATTCGCGCAGCGCGTTTTCATTCTCACGCGTTTTTCTGTAACCGTAATGTGGTACAGTAATTTGTATGTAAAGGAGACATTCTGTACATAATAATTACAAAAGAATACTCCAAATTTACCAATTGTTCAATAATATTCCACTGTAAATTATATTCTATAGAATGTGTCTTGTAAAGAATTTTAACATTTGTAACAAGATTAAGTTAAACACATTAGTTCATTACGTAAAATTAATTATTATTTGTAGAGATATTTTAGTTGGCTATTTCATGTAATTTGTAGTTTTTTAAGAAGATCAATGTATCAAAATAGTCAATAATAAAATTTATATGAAATGTTTTTCTATGACATATTATAGTATAGAAAATAATTCTATTTCCTCTCAAAGAATTTTTTTATCGTCTACATTGTCAAAATTAAGACGTTTGATGTTCTAAAACTGGCATTAGACATTGCGACACTTATTGAGCTCAAAACGTCCTTAAAAAAGCCAATAAACGCCGATTTCTTTATGTCCATTAACAATCATGAGTATCTAGGAGCGCCGATGTTTGACTCGAAAAATACATACCATGCCAAAAGTCACTATCGCACATCGTATTAGAGAATAGACGTTATAAACTTGAAGGGGCCAACCACCCATGGGCCACATCAACACTTTGAAAGGGTTCATCGCGTACGCGATATCGGCATTCCATCGTTTACCTACCATAATGTTAAAATGATGACTACAGTTTCTATTGATTTAGAATATATTCGCTATCTTCGCCTGCGCCATATATTCAGGTTGATTTGTTATTCACCTCGTTTTGTACCCATATTTCTATGTTTCGGACGCTCGCATCGCTATGAAATATGCAGCGAATTACTCCTATACGCTGGATTATTATCTGATATAAAATATTATTTTGCAATATCATAATGTTTATGATTACTATTCATTTTTTATTTAGCATACGCGACATATAGCCATCTATCATCTACCTCCTACATTTGTTATGCGGTGTAGAGAAGTATATTACAGAGAAATAGCTCGCGCAAGCTTGCTAGTTATGCGTATTGTAATTGAGTCATTGAAACGAATTAAAATTATCGTGTCGCAGAAGACTTCGATAGTCTTTATAAATCTTATTGCGTTATAACGTCTAATGCTTCAATAATGCTACCTCGGTTGTATTTTCATATAAAATATCTTAAAGAGCCTATAAAACACGTTGTTACGGGAGCGTGGAAGTGCAAATATCGGAAGAAAAGAGGAGGGAAACATAATTCTTACTACAAGTACGTATGAGTGAGAACTATAGGCTTTTATTTGTCGAAGTAAACGTGTCAACGTATCTTCTTCTCCTTCTTTCAAATGTATAAATATGTTTGCATGCCACTGAGCGAAAAGAAACTGTTTATTTGACACGAATAGACGAGCTAATTGCAACTACACAATTAACAGTTTTATTAAAAAAACATTATATACTAATCTCATCCACAGAATTCCTTTTTCGTCAAATAAGACTACATATTATAGATTTATATAATTTTATTAACAAATTTATCTGTAAAATCGATATTTAGCACGTTATTTTACCCTTTCTAGTGCCGAGCAAATGTATCGTACCTATGCAAAGAATACCGAGCCAATTTGACGAATTTGCTAAGGTTTGGGAAAAAGCTCATAAAAACCAAACTAAAAATGATATCTACAAAATTCAAAAAACAGTATATCACGAAATAAAGAAAAAATAAAGTAATGCCAATTGTACTACATGGGCTGAAAAGTCCCGGGATTTTTTAGTAGGTGGCGCCACTAGAAAATGAACATGATTTATTTCGAGAGGTTCATCTCTCACTAGTTTATGTGTGAAGTTTCATGATATTTCGTTCATTCGTTTACAAGCTACAGTCGTTCAAGTGTCTCTACTTTCGCCTTCGTAAAAAAAATAGAAAAACAGGAATATCGCATATTGATCAAACATTGTTTTTTGATGGGAAAAACTCCTGAACATTCAATAAAATGGTCGAAATGTTGTCCCACATTTGCTCTTTCGTGAACAACAGTTTATCGATAGTTTAGTGAATTTAAAATGGGTCGCACAAGCACCGAAGACGCACCTCGCTCTGGAAGACCAAAAGAAGCTACGAATGCGGAAATCGTAAAGCAAGTGAATCGAATCGTTTTGAGTGTTCGTAAAGTAAAGTTGCGCAAGTTAGCTGAGGCCGTTGGAATCTCAAAAGAATGGGTGGGATACATTTTGCACGATGTTTTGGTTATAAAAAAGCTATCTGCGCGATGGGTGCCGCGTTTGCTGACCATCGACCAAAAACAGCAGCGCGTTGATGATTCAACGGCCGGTTTGGCGTTGTTGCAGCGTAATCGAGCGGAATTTTTTCGACGTTTTGTGACGATGGATGAAACGTGGATCCATTACCATACGCCTGAGTCCAATAGGCAGTCTGTAGAGTTGCTGAAAAGCCACTAAAGCCGACCAAAGCGGCCAAAAGACCAACGCTCGGCCGGGAAGGTTTTAGCCTCCGTTTTTTGGGATGCACATGGAATAATCTTCATCGATTACCTGCAGAAGGGAAGAACAATTACGGGAGAGTATTATGCAGCGTTATTGGACAAACTGAACGACGGAATAAAGAAAGAACGGCCCCATATGGCGAAGAAACAGTTCTGTAACAAGGCGATAACGCACCATCACTCACGTCCTTGAAAGCGATGGCCAAATTGGACCAATTACGATTCGAATTGGTTGCTCATCCGCCGTATTCTCCAAATTTGGCACCCAGCGACTATTATCTGTTTCCAAACCTCAAACGGTGGCTCCAGGGAAAGAGATTCACATCGAATGAGGAAGTCATCACGGAAACCGAAGCGTATTTTGAAGGCTTGGACATTTCGTACTACAGAAAGGGCTTCGAAATGTTGGAAAATCGCTATACCAAGTATATCGCACTCGAAGGCAACTCTGTTGAGGAATAAATATAACTTTGCCCAAAAAACGCTTGTTTTCATTAAAAATCCCGGGACTATTTCAATATTTGTTGAAAATTATACGAATATCATCAATATAAAACATGATGAGAAATATAGAAACAAGTTTCTCTTCTACAAACAATATTTGCACATAAGAATAATCATCGTTTAATCACAGTTTTATGTAGATCACGCAGTGTGAAGTATAAGTATTACATTTTCAATCATTTTTAACAAAATAACTAATATATCGGGCCTGAGAACGAAAGGATTACTCCATGATGCACGGCAAGCGTCCGACAGATCTATTAGACTAGATTAATTGTTCTTACAGAACAAGTGGATCGTGTAGCTAATGTGACGTTACTGAAAAAAAATTTTGATGTTATAAATATTTATATTTAGTTATCTGACTACTAAAAATTTTGGTATTATTATAACGTTTTATAAATTTATTTTGAGATAGAGCTTTCTCGCAATGCGAATAGTAAGACGCTCTTGGATATGCGACGATATATCGTCGTTCGGCACTAAAAGGGTTAAATGCCAATTTCAAGTAACATACACACATGCACGCACGCACGCACGCACGCACGCACACTTCCATTTTATTTTTGACAGTTAAATATCTCAAAAAATATGAACGGTATGAACAAATGTCTCAGACAAAGGTTATACGGCCTTAAAGATGACAAATAATGATAAAATTAATAAAAAAAATTGTCAAGGTTATATGAAGGTCATCTACATTTTTTAAAATGGAATGTGGTATTTTTTATTAAAAAATCTGAAAAATTTTAATTTTACTTAAAAAAGAGTGAGGAGGCTTAAATTCATTATGTAAGGAAGTATTTCATGAAAATGAAAAACCTCTATTGAACAGTGTGTATGTGCTGCGGTGAGTCCCGTTCGATAGGCAACATTTCGTATTATCCATGTGTTTCACGTAGAATCACGATGTGTCGCTAATTCGAAATTAAATAATTAAAGATTACACGATCACAGTTGTCGATTAATGGTAATAACATATATTAAATAACATTTGCTTATTATTAAGTTAAGTAGACACTTGCGACTTCCTTTTGTATATGACGATTCGAAAATGTCACGATCGCGCGCACGGTCGAAGACATTTTTCTTTTCATACAAGGTCTGTTCAAAAAGTATCGCGAATTTTGTGTTTTTTCAAAAATTATTTATTTATTCATGAATATCTATTTTGTCTCCTTCAAAGTAATCCCCATCAGATATTATACACTTGTGCCAACGTTTTTTCCAATCCTCGAAGCACTTCAAAAAACCATTTTTTGTGATTTTGTTCAGCTCCTCCTTCCATGCCGTCTTTATCTCCTCAATCGTAGCGTAGCGTCATCCTCTCATGTGCCTCTTCAGTTTCGGAAACAAGAAAAAATCACAGGGGGCCAGGTCTGGGAAATACGGTGGCTGCGGCATCATTAGTGTGTTGCTTTTGGCCAAAAATTCGCGCACAAGCAACGATGTGTGAGCAAAGGCATTGGTACGAATTTCGCGGCGAACCGTCTCATGCCCAAATCATTAGTAAAAATCGAATGGCACGAGCCAATCGATATGTTTAGGTCCTCAGCAAATTCTCTAACGGTGATTCGACGATTGGCCAATACTATTTTCTTCACTTCATCAATGTTTTTGTTTGTTGTTGACGTGCTCGGGCGTCCGGTACGCTCTTCGTCGTTCATATCTTCTCGGCCATCTAAGAACATTTTGTGCCACCGATAAACGTTGCTTCGGTTCAAGATAGCTTCACCATATGCCACAGTCAACATTCGGAATGCGTCCGCGCACTTAATTTTGTTA